CTTTGCCACCGTAGGAAGCACCCAAAATGAAATTCAAGAAGCCTAATATCTATAATCACCTGATACTCATAGTTTATGAGGATGGTATCATCACCCTAAGTACATGGGAGCTCTACCGAGAGTAGAAATATCACACTCAGATTCCTAATAGCTCAAGCCGTGTCAAAATATTAATAGATATCATCATCAGCACAATTTACTGAAATCATTAAACCATGAAAGGAGAATGTTGCTTTACTTCCCAATATGGGACCAGAACTTTAACACTAATGTAACTCTCTCTCTCTCTCTCTTCTCTCTCTCTCTCTCTCTCTCTGATAATGCCTACAAAGTTTTCAAAAGGTAGGTATTTTCTTTCACTTTCATAGATATTTCACATCCCTAATAGCTTGTATATATCTAGAGAGAGAGGAGAGAGGGGGGGACAGAGTCAGACACAGAGAGAGTACATGGTGGCGTTTAAATAAAATGATTGGGTGATGCTTTCAGTTGTGGACCCCAGAAAGACCAGAAACTTTGAATCTGGCGTTGTGGGCCTTCAAACCACGAGGTCCATCCATCGTAGTCAAAAGTTGCCTATCGTCTTGGACAACCGTATTTCTCCACGAGAACGAGCGACTGAACAAACGTGCGCCGTGGGAAGTGGACATTTTTAATGGGGCCCACAACGCCCAAAACGTGGCAGAGATCCGACCACCAGAGCTGAGTGCCGATTTACCTATCTTGTCCTTATCTTCCTCTTCCACCGTCCATCTCCTCCGTTGGTGTCTCCCACTTGGTGGAACACGAAGGGGTGAGAGCCCACGGCGGCGGCGGCGCGACGAGGCACCGCTGGTTGGCGGCCGTCTGCCTTGCGCTTCTCGGCATCGCCTTCGTCACGCCGGCGCACTGGCGTCACCTCGCCGTCCCCCCCGGCGTCCGCGGGAGCAAGCCACAGCAAGCAGGCGGCAATGAGCCCATCTTGAGTCTTCCAATCCCATCTTTGCTAGGGCAGACAAGCCGCTCTCTCTCTCTCTTTCTCTCTCGCTAAGGGCGCCATTTCGGCCCGCGACACGCCAGTTACGTAGTCAATAAAACTTACCTGGCGGCGACGACGGAGATGGTAGGGATCCAGATCAGGGTCTTCGACAAGGGGGAGGCCCCCTTCGAGGTCGTCCTGAAGCAAGTGACTAACTGCACTCTCCAGGAGAAACTGCAGCCCTGGGTTGACCAAAAGGATGCGGTCTCCGAGGCTGACCTGAGAAAGACCAAGGCCGTTCTCATCACCTCTCTCTACTCCGGGTACTTGGAAGGGATACAGAACATGTATTTGGAACACCCGGCCGCCGGCGGCATGCTCGTCAGCTTCCACCAACCCAGCCACGAGGAACGACAGGTGAAGGACAAGAAGGACCACGACATGAAGGCGTGGGCGGAGATGAATCTGCTGGGCTTCGCCGATGTGCTGATCACCAGCGCCCAGTCGACCTTCGGCTACATCGGCCAGGCCCTCGGCGGCGTGAAGCCTTGGATTCTCCTCCGGCGCGAGAAGGCCGCCGTGCCGGAGCCCGCCTGCGTTCGGGACATCTCCATGGAACCCTGCTTCCACCCGGTGCCTCATTACGTCTGAAGGGAGAAGAAGAATGGCGTCAACAGCAAGTTGGTGCCATATACGTTACCCATTGTAAGGACTCTCCGTGGGGGATCAAACTAGTCGATTAAGCCGTGTAGTAGTCGCATCTAGCTCTTAGTCGTCATTCTTACAACGGGTCCCTGAGTTGTTCGCCCAGCAAAGGCCAATCCTTTTCTTGACCCCGTTTTTTCCCATAAAAACAGGCATATTTCACAATGTTACAGTAAAATATAAACAAGTTTACTTATCTTATGCAAGTGACAATATAGAGCGTAATAAGTTATAACTCAAATTGAGGAGAACTTTTCAAAATTTATTTTGAAAAGTGTTTCCAAGATATTCACTTCCACACTAAAAGATTACGGATGATCTAAAAAGAAACGGGGAATATGACTAAGTCAACCATGTATCACAATAAATAGATAATATTAATGGTAGTATGTAGTAGATGCTACCTGGCCTCTCCTTTCAGAGTTTCCCATTTATGAAAGTATGTAAATAATTTCTTTGAACTTTTTTCTTTTTTATGCAATACATTTGTTTTACATGGTCATTAATAATTGATAAAGCTAAAAATGATGAATCCTTACCTTTGGGAATATGTTTAGCACGTTCACACCGGTGCATACCAGATAAGGAGGATAAATAAGACGATCCTGACTATTCGACATTCTAATGACAGGAAAATTTTTATCATGAGCACAAATAGTTGGGTAGATGTGTAATGATACATAAAACTCTGAATGGCGTCATAGTCATATTGAAACAACATAAAAGTGCACACGGATGATGATAACATGATAAATGAATATCTTTAATATGTAGAGTAGAGAACACATATAATAGCATATTGCATGAGAATAATACAATAGATAAATGTAATTAAAAAAGTATAATATGAATAAAAATAGTTGCATTTATGGATGCATTTAATTGTAAACAAAAATAATAGTGCATATAAATGACAATAACATGTTTTCTTTTGAATTCCTTGTAGCTTATTTGATTTTTGTGGCTTTAACCAATAGATGAGGCCAAATAATATTGTCCTTAAATATTAATTTGCTAAGATTTTGTTTGGTTTTAAATTTTCAACCATCACACCAACGACTTTTTCAATAGATTTAAAATTCATTCAAGCTTGGCTAGGTCAAGTATTTCTCAAACTAAGTGGACGACATTAATGTTAATTAATGTGGGGTGCTCTCTTAGTCCCTCTTTTTGGCATATCTAGTTTGTTTGTAAGGTATGGAAAGAATTTATCGTAAAAAATCATAACGCGGATTCAGTAACTTCACGTTCAATGATCTTTCACAGTTAAAAAATGACTATAGTGATGTAGGCCTACTTTAGGGCATAATAAAAATGATAATCCTCTCTTTCTGAAATTCAAACGAAGATATTAATTTTTTTCACTAAACATTTTATGAGACTCGAGTATTTTTTCACTAAATATTTTTCCCTGAACATCTAGTGTTTGCGCCCACTTAGTTAAACGTTCTCCTCTAAGCTATCGCGTTAGAATGGAAGGCATCTTTTTCGGGTAACGCGTATTTGTAAAGTTGTGTAAACATTGAGCCTAACAATCGACATATGGACTCGGCATCCGCCTCAAGCAGGAGGTGGACAGCCCATAAGAGATGTCCCTGCCTTTTCCTTGATCTCAATCTTTTCCTCAGCGAGCTGACTAAATCTCTCTATCCCGGTCTCGGTTTGGCTAAAGCGAATATAGTCCAGCGGCGATATCCGATTGGAGTCCAGTTCTTCTCATCCGACCTCTGACCGTAACGTCAGTTCAGAGCCCGGGGACGATAGAGACGAATGCCGTGATCAAAGGGCGGCTTATGCCAGGCCCTCGCCGTCAACTTCGCTCGTCTTCGCCTCGGTATCAGCATCTTAGGAGTCCTGTCGTGCATTTCTTGTGCGACCTCGACGACTTGGCCTGTAGGAACAGTCTCTTTCTCTCTTTTTCCGCCGACTCGCACTCGAACCCTCAACATCAACACCCCCCAACCACCCCACCCCACCCCACCCCACCCCCCCTCTAAAAAAATAAAGCAGGCATCACCTTATCTCTTAGATTCTGAAGAAACCACGTGTCGACTGATTAGGAGACGAAAACCTTGTGGGCACAGGGTGAATGTCTATCAGCAGCCCAGCAGGCATGGTTCCGTGTTATATATATCTGTCGACCACCGAACTCAATAAAGGCTCCTTCCCTCTCATTTCTCTCCCCCATCACAACGCGGAAGAATGGTTTCGATATGCCGGGTAGAAGTCGCAGCCAGCGGAAGCGCTGGCCGAAGCCAGCGCCGCATAGCCTCACCGCTAGAGAAGTTCTCCGTGACGGTGCCGACGCGGAAATTCTGGTTGGTAGTCGGCTGCCTTACGCTTGCGGGGTACGCATTCATCTCGGGGGCTTACCGGCGTCCCCTTACCTACGTCACCGGCGTCTACACAGAAACGTGGTACCACCAGCCAGAGGATGGTGAGGACATCTCTCTCTCTCTCTCTCTCTCTCTCTCTCTCTCTCTCTCTCTCTCTCTCTCTCTCTCTCTCCCCTCTATCTACCCCCTCTCTTTCCCTCCATCTCTCTTCTTCTCCCTCCCCTTCCTCTCACACAACGGGGGTGATTATATGCTTACAAGTTTTTAGCAATGATAATCAAGCATACCTTGAAAGTTTCATTTTTAATGCTTTTTAGTCAGTAAATCCGCTCCTTCGAAGACCGCATTGGCTCCCCTCGTGCTCATCTTCATCCGACCTGCCTGACTCTCTTGCCTGGATTTCTCACTTGTAAAAACTCTTGGTGTCGTCTTGGTTAGATAATGGAGCTATAATAACTTTCAAATTCATCGGCATGGGGAAACGAGAAGCTTTCCGAAAGGTAAGCCAATTCGAATTGACTTGCAAGCTGGACCTCATAGACGCCAATCCGGATTGGCCCACATTTCTAGATATACATACATATTCGCCCGTGGTTTTTAGATGGGGCCTGCTAATACTCCTCTCCTCTCACCGTAGCTAATGTAGTAATTTGACCTCGTTGTACAAAGTTAACCATTTATTGTGTGCAGAATTGGCGGATGAGACCTTCCGTGGGCGGCTTCCGAGAGTACCGAGGGACGACTACCTCGGCGGCCTTCTCGCCGCAGGGTTTGACCGCAGCTCCTGCCTGAGTAGGTACGAATCCGCTATCTACCACAAGCCATCCAGCTACAAGCCTTCGGGGTTCCTTGTGCGGAAGCTCCGCCAGTACGAGGATCGACACAGGAGATGCGGCCCCCACACCGAGTCTTACAACAGGACAGTCCGACTCTTGAAAGCAGGTGGCGCAGCCAGAGAAGAGGCAGAGACGGGATGCAGATACCTCGTGTGGACACCCTACATGGGGCTGGGGAACCGTATACTCTCTCTCGCATCTACCTTCCTCTACGCCCTCCTCTCCGACAGGGTCGTCCTCATCGACCAGGTGGAGAACTTCGCCAGCCTCATGTGCGAGCCCTTCCCGAATACTACCTGGACGCTGCCTCTGGATTTCCCTATCACCAACATCGGCTCCTTCGATGGAAAACATCCTTCTAGCTACGGAAACCTAGTAAAAACCAAGAAGATCAGGAATGACGGGGTTGACGATCCCTTCTCCGGACACCCTCCGCCGTCCTTCGTCTACCTCCACCTAACCGGCGGGTACACCAGCGAGGATACTAACTTCTTCTGCGAGCCGGACCAGTTGGTCCTCCGAGAGATCCACTGGCTGCTGGTGAGGTCGGACGAATACTTCGTGCCGGCCCTCTTCTTGAACTCAATCTTCATGCCCGTGCTAACCCTGATGTTTCCACAGAAGGAGGCGGTGTTCCACCACCTCTGCCGCTACCTCTTTCACCCCTCCAACGAAGTCTGGGGGATGATCACCAGGTACTACGAATCTTATCTAGCCCCGGCCGGGGAGACGTTGGGGATTCAGATCAGGGTCTTCGACGAGAAACAGAGTCCATTCGACGTCGTCCTCAGACAAGTGATCAATTGCACCCTCACACAAAAACTGCTGCCGGGAATTGACCTAAGCCATCCTGCCGCCGTGGCCGACCGGCGAAAGACTAAGGCCATTCTCATCACCTCCCTCTACTCCGGGTACTTGCAACATATTCGAACCATGTACTGGGAGCACCCGGCCGCCGGCGGTGTGCTCGTCAGCGTCCACCAGCCCAGTCACGAGGGATGGCAGAACACGGGCAATAAGACCCACGACATGAAGGCGTGGGCGGAGATAAATCTGCTGGGGTTCGCCGACGTGCTGGTCACCAGCTCCCAGTCGACCTTTGGGTACGTCGGCCAGGCTCTCGGCGGCGTGAAGCCCTGGATTCTCCTCAAGCCGGAGAATGGCGCCGTACCGGAGCCCGCCTGCGTCCGGGACATCTCAATGGAGCCCTGCTTCCACTCGGTGCCGCCTTACGTCTGCAAGGAGAAGAAGAATGGCGACAACAGCAGGGTGGTGCCGCACGTCATCCATTGCATTGATACTCCCTGGGGAATCAAGCTAGTTAACCAGACCGTATAGCACTCACATCTAGCCATCTTTAAAGTAGTTCGTCCTGAGCATTACAATCCATCTTTCTAGCCCATTTCTTTACGCAGAATTCGTATTTCTGAAAGAAGGCATTTCCCTTCACTAATCACATGAGATCTCGTAAACATAAGTATCAGAAGACAAATATTTATAGAGGTGTATTGTATATTGTAGAGTATTATTTTTCAACTTAATGTTAAATTATGATAATAACGTATGACGACTGACAACGAATGAAAGGGAAATGCCGATAGTGGACATCCCACATGGTGGAGAGACCGTAAGAGGCCAACCGGCTACATGTTAGAGTCGCTTTCTTACCTTCAACCTGATCGTCCGCATTGACCTGGATCATTTCAAAATCCAATTCTTTAGGCGTCATTTTTGGCTCTCGTTTAGGCTCGCTAAGATAATATTCTAAATGGACCAATAAAAAATTCCTTTAAAAAGTCGAGCAATAATTCCTTGGGTTCTTAATGTCCATACACTTTTAAGTCACTCATTATGTTTCCTCCTCTCGCTCTCTCTCTCTCTCTCTCTCTCTCTCTCTCTCTCTCTCTCTCTCTCTCTCTCTCTCTCTCTCTCTCTCTCTCTCTCTCTCTCTCTCTCTCTTTCCCTCTCTCTCTCTCTCTCTCTCTCTCCCTCTCTCCCTCTCTCTCTCTCTCTCTCTCTCTCTTTCCCTCTCTCTCTCTCTTAAAATGCTTACGATTTTTTCGAACGGTAGGTATTTTCTTTCACTTTCATAGATATTTCAGATCCCTAATAGTTTGTATATATCTAGAGAGAGAGAGTAGATGGTGGCGTTTAAATAAAATGATTGATTAATGCTTTCAGTTGTGGGTACCAGAAAGACCAGAAGTATGTTGAATCTGGGGTCATGGCCCTTCAAACCGCTTGGTCCACCCATCGTGGTCAAAAGTAGCCTACCGCCTTGGACAACCTTGTCTTCCCATGTAGACGAGTGACCTAAGAACGTCCGCCGACCACCTAACGGGACACGTCGTGGGTCGAGAACGTGGCAGGGATCCGACCGCCAGAGCTGACAGCTGATTTCCGCTGATCTTGCCCTTATCTTCCTCTCCAACTTTTCACCTCCTCCGAAGGGGTCTCCCACTTGATCGAAGCCGAAGAAGTGAGAGCCCACGGCGTCGGCGGCGGCGGCGGCCTCCCCCAGCCAGCCGAAGCAGCTCCCTTGCCGGCGGCGCGGTGGCTACAATCGGCAGCGGCGGCGGCGACGAGACACAGCAAGCAGGCGCGGCGGTGAGTCCATCTTCAGTTTTCCCAATCGCACCTTTACTAGGGCGGACAAGCCCCTTTCTCTCTCTCTCTCTCTCTTTCTCTCTCTAAGGGCACCATGTCAGATTGCGACAAGCTAGGTACATAGTCGATGAAAAGTTCTCTAAAGGTGCACTTAATGTGGCTAACAGGCCATTTTTTAGGCTGGTATTCGGGACGGTGAGGTTTCGAAGCAGGTCTTCAATGTTCTTAGACCACCTTTGAGCCTCCCACGTTGGGCCCTTGCCAACCAATTGACGAGTGCACATAATGCAGGTCGCGTTGACCATCTCTTGGTGGATCCTGAGTCTCACATTTCTCGATTTCATCGGCAAAACCACAATCCTCGCCGTCTACATCTCGCTCTTTCACAAGTCTAGACTGCTCGTGACGAGCGAGGTCAACGATCGGCCTCTCTTTATCTCCCTCAGCGCCGCCGATATGTAGATGACTTCCCGGCCATTTCCATCAAACGATGGAATCTACGAGAGCACGTCGTGGCAGTCGCAAAAGGGGGATGATAAGTTGTTCCCTTGTTGTAGTTAAACTTCATTGATTGACTTTAATTAACTCATTAAATCTAAATGTAATAAAGAGTATTAAGTGGTATTTAAGGAATAAATAGCATAATTATGAAGTGTGCAAGATAAAAGTTATTCTGATTTGGGTTTTCAAGACGACAGAGAATATCATTCTTCTAGTCCCTCATGGGAACTAGGGGTTGTCGGCACACATTGATGACGATCTCAGGTATGCCCATAGAGCATTCGTCAAGTGGATCGGAGCGGGTCTTTTTACGCACTCTCTTTTTTTCTGTCACTGGGTTGTCGGCGCCCTCCAAGCGCCCTCCAAGCGCCCTCCAAGCTCCCTCCATGCGTAGGCACCGATACCCCCCGGACGGGCCGGAAGGAGACCCCACGTTAGTAGCGCCTCCTGAATGCTGCGTTAGCGGCATCTCCCGGAGGCTGCACCGGAAGTGGGCGTCGTGTGGGCCGGTTTCCGGACCCCGGAGCGGCACCATCTGGTTGCTGCGTTGGGTAGGGTTCCGGACTTCCAGAGCGGCACCATTTCGTTGCTGCGTTAGGTAGGGTTCCGGACCCCGCGTGCGGCGCAGGTCTGGGAGACCGGACCCAGCGGAAGCGGTCCGAACGTCGCGGTCGTAGCGACTCCTCGGGCACCGCGTTAACGGTTCCAAACGGTTGCGGCGGTTTCCGGATGCCGCGTCAGCGGAGTCCCCGCACTTTCCGGGGGGACCTACATTGTGGGCCACATTCCGGGCGTGCCGTCGGCGACAACCATAAAGTGGACGCCGTTTGCGACCCGGCCCACTCAAAAATAATAAAATAAAATAATATGGTAACATGGCATATAGATTTTGAACTTTTGTAATAAAGTTTTTCATTTTTTTTAATTTATATTAAATTTCATTTTCTATATTGCCTTATAATAAATGCATGATTTAAGTTCATAATTTTGAATATTGAGTATCATTATTTAACATCACCACTATTTAACAATCTTATACTTTATTTTGCTAAGGCATGTTAAAAGATAATGTGGATTATACATTTATCATTCAATATTCTGGATTGTTGTTGTCTCATCCATGTGATGGGTAGCTTTTTGTTACTTCGACAATTGTAGTATACATAATGTCATTTAATTGGACATTTATTTTGGGCAACTTGGATTCTCACCTCTATGAGACTAAAGAAGAATAATTATTTATTTTAATTACATAAATTAGATTTATATATAATCAAAGATGACATTTGATTTTGCATTAGATAAATGAGATTAACATTATTCACCTACGTGGGATTGTTATGCTTGTATTTAAATGGGTGAAATAGTTGTATTTGCATATTAAATATGGAGTATTCAGGTACCTAATGATATAATATTTCATAGACTTGTATATAAGTCTAGTCAATTTCAAGTTCATTTAACAAAGGTAGATTATTTCATCTACCTATGAAGAGTTATAAGTACACTTTTATTGAGTATGAAGGTTGACATAAGTGAGCTACACTTTATTTTAGGTGAAGTAAGTGTTATAAAAGTGTCAATGTTAAATGATGTAAACTTCTTATAATGTAAAAGAAATACTATAATTTAATCTGAGCATGATGGAATTAGATTTGTGCTTCTGAGTGCTTGCTTCTCCTACACTCACTCAAGAAAATAATGCAGATGTAAAGATCTTTTATGAAAAACTAAAAAGGTTCAACAAGTTGCCTCTACCATTCATGTTACAACATGTGTTTAGAGATATTAAAGGTCTTATGACTTTTGATACTCTAGCAACCGTTTACTTGAATATGATAGAACAATAATTTGTTGGATCTAATAAAGCTAAATCATGTGCCTTGTTACAAAGGTTTGACTCTATGTGCTACATAAGAAAAGAAAATATACAAGAGTATATAGTGGATATGCATGACATTTCTTGAAAACTAAATGACTTACAGATCATTATTCTAGAAACTTTTTTGGTTCCTACACTACTAGCTAAATACAACCTCTTTAAGGTTTCCTACAACACACATAAGGATGAATGATCAGTCAATGACCTTATGACCGTGTTCAAGAGGAAGAGAGGCAGGCTCTTAGTTCTTTTGACAAGGTTACTTCTATGAATCTATCCACTCACAGAGTAAAGAACTAGACATCTAAATGACGGAAGGCCAAGATATCTACAGAAAAAAAAATATAAATTAGGTCTGACCCAAAAACCCACCCATAAGGTCAACTATTTCTTCTGCAAGAAACTTGGTCATTTAAAGAAGGATTGCACAAAGCATAAGGAATGGTTGATCAAACTTAATTCATGTAATTTTGTTTTTGTCACAAGTCATAAATCAAATTTTACTTCTATTCCTAACACAAGTTGACAGATTGATTTGTGTGCCACTCTACACATCTTAAGTACTTTGCAAGGGATTTTGGTAAGGAGGTCTTCAACTGAGAGTAAATAGTTTTGTTGTTTTGACCAATTGGATGTATTCACATGTAAATTCAATGGGTGACTACATAATTACCTTGGACTTGAAATATTTATTGATTTAATGATTTTTTTTATATTTCATCATTTTAGAGGAACTTGATATCTATTACTAAATATTTAAAGACAATTATAATGTTTTTTCTAGGCATCTAGTATGTCTTTAATGAAATGGAATACTCGTGTTGAAACAACTATCATCAATGGATTTTTTAAGCTTAATGTTTTTTCTTCAGAATTTACTATTTCTCTAATTTTTTCTAACAAAAGGAACATAGTTAACAATAACCCTAACAATTTATAACATAAAAAATTATGACACATATCCCAAAAGAGGGTGGAGAGATTAATAAAAGAATGTCTTCTGAGATCTTTGGATTTCACTAACTTTCAGACCTTTGTTAATTGTATAAAAGTGTAAAAAATTAAAAAATACAAGAAAAATATGACAAAATGTCAAAGGACATTAGATTTGATTCATATTAACGTATGTTGACCTTTTGAACCCTATTTTATAGGTCAAAAGTATTTCATTACTTTTGTCGATGACTACTATAGGTATATGTATATTTACCTCATTCATGACAAATCGTAAGTCCTCAACATGTTTAAGGTAGGAAAAAGTTTAAGAAACCCTATTAAAGTATGTCACATCTAATAGAGGTGAAGAATATAATGGTAGGTACACGAGAAATAATAAATGTTGAGACCA